AACGAGGGCACCCACAAGGACTGGCACCCACCGGCGGTACAACCACGACATGAACAGGTGGCCAGACTGGTTCTGTTTGCCAAGTCCCAGCTGCCTGGTGTTGAGGTCCTCATGAGCAAGAAGGATATCGCTGGTGCGTTTCGGCTGTTGTGGGTTGACCCCAAGGACGTGGAGCTGTTTGCGGGTGACCTCCCGTGGGCTCCGGAGGAGATGGAGGATGGTGAGGATGTGGCCGGCGAGGGCATGACCATCGTCTATTTGGTCAGCTCCTTCGGCTTTTCCGGCTCCCCGGAGAGTGGACAGTGTGGGGCAAGGCCACCGAGGAGTTCCTGCGGCACCACCGCCCCTCTATGCCGAGGCGGGACCTGTCTTGGTCCTTCGAGAGCCGCATCTTGGTCGATGACAACGTGCTGGTGGAGCCCCTGATCGGCTTGAGGCCCTGGGTGGCGAGCGAGGTCTACGAGCTGGGGGTGAAGACGCTCCTGGGCGATGCCGCTGTGAACCGGGAGAAGGATTTGGTCGAAGGCCCTTTCCGGACCTTCCAGACTGTTTGGGGCCTGGACATGGACACAGCCACGGAGGAAATCCATCTTCCGGAGCGGCGAATCCAAAAGGGCGCAAACCTGTTGGCAGAGCCCACCTTCGAGTACGGCAACAAGGATGTGACGGTGCGGGCCGTCCAGCGTTTTCGGGGAATCGCCACGGGATGGACGGTGATCGTGCCGGGGCTCAAGAACGAGTTGAAGGCGGCGGACCGGTTCCTGGGGGGCGAGCGAGATGGAGGTGCGCGGGTCCGGCCCAAGCTGAACGACGTGAACGACGAGGAGGAGCTCGATGAGGCCTGGCGCGACCTATGGGAGCTGTTCGAAGAGGCCCGATGGCTGTGTGCGAGACCGGAGACATGGCCACTCAAGTTTGGTGGGAGCATGAGAGAGCTTCTGCCAATCCGCGAGCGGTTGGCGCTGCCAGGGGAGTGGGATGCCGGGACGGTTTTCGTCTCATCGGACGCCACCAAGCTGATGATCGCGGCGGTGGATTGGAACCACGGGCTAGTTATGAGGATGCCGGCCAAGGATACGGCAGTCTGGGTCCAACGCTGCTCGGATGAAGAGGACACCGCCATTCACGTGGCGGAGATGCTGTCCTTCCTCGCTTTCGCGTGCCATGTCGGGGAAAACTGGCAGGGCCGGGTGGTGCTCTATGGCGGCGATAACCAAGTGGTGCGGCAATGGATTGGCACACGCAAGGCGGGCACGGCGGTGGGGCGCCTTATGGTCCGCATGCTGAACCTCGTGGATGCGCTACCGCTTCGTCCTCATCGCGGCCTGGTGGCGAACCTACCATAACATTCATGCGGATCTTCTCACCAGGTGTTCCGATGAGGAGTTTGAGGCTTTGATCCATGAGCGGAGCTGGAAGGTTGTGGATGTTCGAGAAGCTTTGCGGCAGGCGGTCGCGGACTCGGAGCGGTTCGGACCTTGTCTTCTGGCGTGGGGACCAGAGGATCGTGATGTTCTCATGCAGCTGAAAGAGAGGCGGCTTCACCGCGCGGTCCCGACTTCGTTGAGGCCGGCCTGGTCCGACTTCCACGCCGTGGAGTTGTGTGGGCCCGGTCGGGCCGTCGTGGACTTTGTGAACACAGTGGAGGCGGCTGGTGGGCGAGCAAGGCGGGCGGAGTGGACCGGACCGGTGTTGCCCGGCGAAGTCGTGCTGGCCTCGCTTCCACCGGATGCTCATGGGAAAATTCTCCGGCGGGTCACGGAGGCGGCAATCAATGGGCCCGCGCTCCTCATCGTGCTGGAGGGCCCTAAGGCGGCGAACTGGGAGCTGGCGCAAAGTTGCTTAACGGCGGCATCGTGGTTCTCAGAACTGGGCGAGTTCCTCACCACTGAGTTTGGAGAGCTGGCGGTGAGGCGCCGGGTCTGTTTGGTAGGGGCGCCGCATCGTCCGGTGGAGGGTGCCCTCCACTCGACAACGTCACGGGGCATTCTCGCCCACCCAATGGGGTCGGTCATCGAGCCAACAAGAAAGGTGCAGCAAGAGGACTGGATCTACCCGGAGCAGGTCATCCTGGACTCGGGCATTCCACGAGAACCGTTGCTGCCGTTGCTAAAGGGCCATTTCTGGATTAAAGGAGAGCGGCACAACTTGCATAGCACGGGAGGCCCGCTTCGGTGGCCCTTGAGGAGTGGCGAGGGCGTTGAAGATTGTGTCGTGTGGGACCCTCGGGGCCCGCCTGGCGCGGTCCGGCGCCTTACAGAGGAGGAGATCTGGCGATGCCAAGGACGCGATGCGGCCCAATGGGCCGAGTTGGGTTCCAAAGGACTTTCCCCGCAGGAGAGGCTCGTCGAGGGCGGCAAGGCGACCGGAGTGCAAACCGCGGCCGCGCTC